AAATCGGCTTACAGAGCACAATTCTTTGGAGCGACCCTAACTACAATGAAGAAGTCCATTTGAAGGCATGACCCCCTCCAAAGATCATTTTTTCTCATGGCTTGCTATATAGAACCGAGTTTGGACCGTGGATCGTCTCGCCAAAAGAGGATGGGAAAACTGCGAGCTTTGCCCCTGTGCAAGAGGGCAAATGAGATAGCTACTCACCTTTTCTTTGGATGTCGTTTCACTTCAAGGATTTGGAGGTTGGTCAAGGCATGGCTTGGTCTTGCTGCTTTGGATCTTTCCCTTTGGGCCGGCAAAAGAAATATTAGATCTTGGTGGACGAATATGTCGGGCCCAAACGTTGCCAGCCGGAAGGTGATGTCGCTTGAAACTGTGTCGGTATTTCCCTAAATAGGAAGGTATGATGCAGTACAGCTACGGTAGGTATTTTTCTCAGTTGTGAAACCAAGGTATCAATCCAGTAGGAGAACCAAGCAACACTATATAAATGGTACCTGCACATAAAGAACAAATACTTGCAACCCGACGCGTAAGAGGGGTTGTTAATCCCTCCACGGTAAAAAGATAGATAAATTTGTGGTAGATTGGATAAATAGCTCTCGATAAAACATGAAATAAAATAAGTAATAAAAAAGTGCATCAAGGTATTTTTTTGGAATAATAGATCCAAAAATAAAAGCGAATAAAAATAGATCTCAAGGCAAATATGATAAAGAATAGACCCAGGGCCGTAGATTTCACTAGTGGCTTCTCTTGAGAAATAGCACACGGTGAGTAAACAAATTACTGTTGGACAATTGATAGAAGATCGAATAATTATGTTGATATCCAAGTCAATGATCAATATATAGGCATCACGTCCAAGATTAGTAGACCGACTCCTGCCTGCAACCTTAGTAAAAGCTTTATTTTGTTCATAAGTATGGGGTGAATTTATCATGGATTGCAACAAAGAAATACATTCAATCAAAGAGCAATTATCATAATTAAAGTCTTTGTAATTCAAAAGAGTAGGCACATCACTAGTTAAAGTTTTGACCTCTCCAAACCCACTTTTATCAATTTTCTCATCAAGATTTTCACCCTCCGAATTATCGAGCCGCCCTCTAGCTAAAGTTGACTCTTCTTCAGTCCCTTTATCATCAATTTTAATTTTACTAAACAAGGAATCAATAGAAGAAACACCAATCATTTTTATCTTCGAGAGAAATTGGCTTAGCGGCCATTTGATTTACTAGGGTAGCTTGTGCATCGGATATTTTGCCTAGCAAATTTTCAGCATGAGCATACTTGGATTGGAGATTACAAACTTCTCTACTAATATCATCAAGTTGTTTTGTTATAGCATCTAACACAGTAGAGTGTTCTTTAAGTTCCTCAGTAAAATACTTATTGTGCTCAAGTTGTGTAGTAATAAATTCCTTGGTACTTTTTTCAATCTCAAGCAAAATATTGGGGTAAGGAATATCATAGTACTTTCTTTGAGACATCGCGACTACGTAAACAAGATTGTAAACAAAAATAGATCTGACGAGAAAAAGGCGAACGAAAAAGGGGGCTAATAAAAAGTCAAATTTTATGAAGTGGGGGAGATGAAAACGAGAGGCAATTGACAAATAATGTAAATTGCAAAGAGATGAGATTTGTGATTAGGAACCTGATAGTTGTTGATAATGTCTCTCCGGCAACGGCGCCACAAATTCCTTTTGATGTCGCTTGAAACTGTGTTGGTATTTTCCCAAATAGAAAGGGATGATGCAGTACAGCTATGGTAGGTATTTCCCTCAGTTATGAAACCAAGGTATCAATCCAGTAGGAGAACCAAGCAACACTATATAAACAATACTTGCACACAAAGAACAAATACTTGCAACCCGTAAGAGGGGTTGTCAATCCCTCCACGGTAAAAAGATAGATAAATTTGTGGTAGATTGGATAAATAGCTCTCGATAACACGCGAAATAAAATAAGTAATAAAAAATGTAGCAAGGTATTTTTAGGTTTTTGGAATAATAGATCTGAAAATAAAAGCGAATAAAAATAGATCTCAAGGCAAATATGATAAAGAATAGACCCGGGGCCCATAGATTTCACTAATGGCTTCTCTCGAGAAATAGCACACAGTGTGTACACAAAATACTGTTGGGCAATTGATAGAAGATTCACGATATCCAAGGCAATGATCAATATATAGGCATCACGTCCAAGATTAGTAGACCGACTCCTGCCTGCATCTATTACTATTACTCCACATATCGACCGCTATCCAGCATGCATCTAGTGTATGAAGTTCATGGAGAAATGGAGTATTGCAATAAGAACGATGACATGATGTAGACGAGATCTATTCATGTAGGAATAACCCCCATCTTGTTATCCTTAATAGCAACGATACATGTGTGTCTTGCTGCCCCTTCCGTCACTGGGAAAGAACACCGCAAGATCGAACCCATCACAAAGCACCTCTACCCATGGCAAGAAAAATCGATCTAGTTGGCCTAACTAAATCAAAGATTTGAAGAAGAAATACGAGGCTACAAATAATCATGCATATAAGAGATCAAAAGAAAACTCAAATAATATTCATGGATATAGATCTGATCATAAACTCAAAGTTCATTGGATCCCAACAAACACACCGCAAAAAGAGTTACATCAAATAGATCTCCAAGAGACCATTGTATTGAGAATCAAAAAAAAAGAGGAAACCATCTAGCTACTGCCTACGGACCCTTAGGTCTATGGTGGACTACTCACGCATCATCGGAGAGGCACCAATGACGATGATGAACCCCATCGTGATGGTGTTAGATTGGATCTTGTGGTTCTGGAACTTGCGGCGGCTAGAATTGTGTTTCATCGACTCCCCTAGGGTTTCTAAAATATTTGGGAATTTATAGGGCAAAGAGCCGGTGAAGGGGGGCTACGTGAAGGGCACAACCCCCCTAGGCTCGCCCTGGTGGGTTGTGCTCCCCACAGGCCTCCCCTCTGGTAATTTCTTGGCCCACAAGGTGTCTTCTGGTCTGGAAAAAATCTCCAAAAAGTTTTGCTACGTTTGGACTCAGTTTGGTACTGATATTCTTTGAAGTAAAAAACAAGCAAAAAACAGCAACTGGCACTATGCACTATGTCAACAGGTTAGTCCCAAAAAATGATATAAAGTTGCTATAAAATGAATATAAAACATTTAAGAATGATAATATAACAACATGGAGCAATAAAAAATTATAGATACGTTGGAGACGTATCAGAACGCAATGGCCTCTCTGACCATGCTTGTGACCTCGATAATCTGGAACGAAAGAAATGAACGTGTCTTCCGCAAAAGATCAGCCCCGACACACTACATCATGCAAAGCATTCAAGGAGGAAGCCAAGATTTGGATCGCCGCCGGGGCGAAGCACCTGATCGTTGATGCCGTGAGAGTAGACCCCATGATTTTTTTTTCCATGCGACGTTGTAATGCTTGTTCTCACCATGTAGCATTAACCTTGTAAACCTCATTCATTAATAGATAAGGCAAAGTTTTTGCCTCCGTTTAAAAAAATTAAGCAGGACCATAGGCGACATAATGCTTCTTTGCTTTATGACAAGGCTCTAGAATGTTGGAATAACACCATAGTTTGAGCGCCATGTCTTGTGGATTCCTAGGATTTCACACCTCAAGCGTCGGAGTAAGAAAACAAAGAAGCTCATGTTTGGAATCCTCCCTATGAAAATTTCCTCCCAATGAAACTTCACAGGTTCTTATAATTGGAAGGGCCTATAGGAGAATTGTATGTATGATTCTAATCATATGAAATTCCTTTGTTCCGAAGAAGTCATGAGAATCCAAGCATATACTATAGCTCAAACGGATTGAGACACTTATTTTAGGACGAAGAGAGTAGTATATTTTATCAAGAACACGAGTTTCTCTCAAACGGATTGAGACATTTATTTTGGGACGGAGAGAGTAGTATATTTTTAGCAAGAACACGAGTTTCTCGTAACAGAGTTGGCGAAGTCCCAAACCAGGTACCTCCTTCCTCAGTTCGGAGCTCTCCTCACTTCACAGTGTTCTATGCTTTCTACACCTGGGAACACCAATCTGGAAAAAAAGTTTGACAACCGTTTTTCGAAATTGATTCTCCATCCCCTAACACCTCCACGACAAATCTTAACAGAATGGCGGGACTTATTTATGGTTGAACTGTATACACGTCCTGTTCCCGACCGATTTGTACACGGCATTGATTTTCTCACAAAGAAACAAAGCAGGCACAGAGACAAAAAAGAAAAACTAATAAGTCAGCAAATACGCGTGAGCTATGCTCAACCAATAGATGCCAAATGGCGACCACCGGCCAGCGGAGGAATTTCCATAGGAAGGCCCGTACAATGCAAAGAAAACTTTGCCGTACGGTCCCGCCTCAGCATAGAAGTTGCCAACAAGAAGGGACGCAGTTCCAGGCCATACTGCCACCGTTATCGAAAGTTCCAGAGCATACCACGTGATGTATGTGGTCAGCAATCCGAACAATCAAAAAGGAAGTTCCAGAGCACGCCTGTTCTTTACTCTTTGCTCCCCTCTGCCTCGCAGTTGGAACAACCAGTGAAATCTCTCTCATTCCATTCAGCACCATGACATTGACATCAAGTCACCATGCGTATTTACATCGTGTCCTCTCCTACTTTACACTAGGCTCAGATGCACATTTACTCTACTCCCCGGGCAGAACAATATTAGCCGGATCACCAGAATTTGGTAAAGAAAAGAATCAACTAACAAAACACAAGAGATGCTGGTTGACAACTCTGTTTACAAGGATCGTCCTTTTTTCCAGCCAGCTCTGCATGATTAGTGAGGACTAATATCTGCAGAAAGAACAAGCAGCACTACAAGTCAGATTAACCAGACGATTATATACAAGACAGATGGCAGCCGGCAGCAGCTGCGTAGTGCATAAGATTAACTTACAATTCAGCCGATATGCTAGAGTTGTCCACAGCTCTATCCGCTCGTGCCACGTGTAGAAGAATTTGGGCGTGTATATGTCCTCATGGACCGTATAGATCGCATAGATCTATTCACAAAAGGATGATCCAGAAGTTTGGACGCGGAAGGTCTGTCTTCTGGATTGGGTTTTACACACTGGCTAATGAAATCACGAGCTTCCTTCGAAAGACCACTTGGAATTGCTGGTGGTTCACCCTTACCAATCCTGTATAGGGCTTGAGTCTGCAGAACAAGTTGCAATAATGGGTGTGAATCTGATGAAACTCGAACAATAAATTACATATACCAGATGCCTTTTTCAGATTTTAAATGAACACTGGAATTCAAATATGCAAGAACCACTACTGGATGTCAAATGAAGAATTACTCACCCACTCCAGATCAGGATAGGGAAGTTGACGTGTCAACATCTCTAGGACCGTGCAACCCAAACTCCATATATCAGCTGCAGGTCCATATGTCTTCTTGGGATTGACGACCTGAAAGTTCAGTGTGTCCATTTAGAATAATAATAGAAAAGGTACGGACATATCATACATGACAGCATGCTTATGCCAAATACTATCTTGTTTTAGCCAAAAACCAAGAATGTCCACAGCGAATAAAGAACATAGAGAACCAATCCAACTTAAATTAACCGCTTAGTAACTCACGTAATTACTCCACTAAGCGTCAACATACAGTGTGAACTACAAATTTAATAGTTGTCACTAGTTGTGAGCCATGACGATACTCAAAGGTCCGGAAAAGTAAGCAAACTGAACTGATGTAGTGTGCAAGTCCAAGCTGTATTTCAGTGCATACACAACTCTTAATACTATTTATCATAGCCCCCCTTTCCCTCAGGATTATACTACTACTTGCTAATTAATTATTCTCAATGAATTACTAAAGGAAAAGGGTAAAAATAAACAAGCGAATTCGAGACTATGCTAATCTGATCTTAAGAGTGTGGTGATATACCTCAGGTGCCATCCAATATACAGTTCCTTTGCATGATTTTAGCACATTGAGTTTGGAGGTCTGAAAGACAATTGATAAAGCAACGTTAAATCACAAAGTTAGTGCATGGATAACTACAATCGAAGTTCAAACACAAAATTATGCAGGTTTTACAAGAAAGTAGCGGACCTGCTTAGCAAGTCCAAAGTCCGCAAGCTTCACGGATCCATTCGCATGCACCAGTATGTTGGCACATTTAATATCTCTGCAAGATGATATTCTAAACTGTAAGCAGTGCAATATTTTGGTGCCCTAAAGACTTGTCAATTAAGAATACCACATTCGCATGCACCAGTATGTTGGCACATTTAGTATCTCCGAAAACATTACATAATGCCCTAAAGACTTGTCAATTTGGGTCAGGTGATATTTATTCAGAAGGCAAGACAAAAACAGCTAATCTTACACCATGGTAAACCAAAAACCCAATATCATTGGTACATGAACTGATGTAATCATATTACCTATGAACAATATTCCTCTCATGTAGGTAATTCAATCCATTAAGTATTTGTCTTGTGTATGCCGAAACATGAGTATCTCGTAGGCGGTACTTCTGATACAAAGATACAAGAGATCCTTGGGTCACTAGTTCAAGGAAGATGTAAAGTTTCGAGTCCTCCTGCAACAGTCACACAAATGATGATTATCAGTCTCAAATGAAATAAGCACAAAGAAATCTACGAGTATAGAGCACAACGTTGCTTCAACAATGGAACAAAGTGATGCACAAACGGAAGATCAGGAGCTTACTTTGTCAGTTCCGAAATAGTGTACTATATTCTCATGTTCAAACTGACTCAAGAGTGCAATTTCCTGAAAAGTAGAATGAAAGTTAATAACAGGCCAAATTTCAGAATACACCATCGAACATAGAGGGAAATGAGTAGTTAAAGACAAGGTTTCTGATATTTTATCAAGGATATAAACAACCAGCTAGACCAACCTGCTCAAGTTGGAAAATACACTGCTGTGCGTTGCTCCCTTGATCATGTAAGGACACTTCTTTGACAGCAAAAAAGACACCCTCGCTGTGAAGCATCAATCATTATAACATAAGATGCAGAAGTAGAACGGCATGTAGAGACTTATGACAGAAAAACATAAGAGCAGACTAATAAAGGAACAACAGATGCTGCAGTCCTTCATGTCCGGAAGCTGAATATCCATTTTATTAAGAATACCACATACTAATTCAGAACTGGAACTGATGCAGTGCATATTTTGGCAAAACAAATGATCATATTCCCCTCTATTCTAGTGAATTTGGTTCGGAATTGGGTAGCACTCTGACTCTAACTAATTCTAGTTGACCACAACTAAGCATTATGTTGAAGATGATTCAATTACTATTTACTAGGCTAGGCATCTGTATTTTGCTACGCAATAGTTCTTAGGAGTTAAAATTGTGGCCAGTGAGCTTCTAATCAAACAGAGGATCACTCTACACAACTCGGGTTGATCAAGGCTTCTGGACATACCCTAGGCCTAGGTTATCTGAGAACGAACATAGCAAATTGAGCTCTTAATCTTAAGCATAACGTTAACAGCCAGCATATAAGGAACGATGAATTTTCCTCTGAAGAGTTGAGAGAACTTACTCGCTGATCCCCTCATAGACCGTCCCAAAGGAGCCACTCCCCAAGAGCACGCCTCGACTCCACGACCGGATCTTCCTCTTAAACCTCCCGTTGGGCGAGATGTAGAACATAGACTCGGTTGTCTCATCGTCGTTTGTCGTGGATATCGAGGATGTGCCTGTGAATTCCTCGGAGCTCTCCCCCAGCCTGAGATCTTCCAACGTCAACACTTCCGCCGCATCCTCGTCCTCGGCATCCGGGTCTCCAAAGTCGGGGACAGATCTGATCGCCTGTGGTTGCCCTTGTTCCTCTGGCGCGAAAGACAGCAGGATATCCCACGTGGAGCCCGCCTGGGAGGCGGGCGGCAGCGCCATCGACGGCGGTGGCTTGAGCATCACCGGCGGCGGGCGCACGCCCTTGATCCCTCCCTCGCAGCCTGGTTTCTTCACATCCGGACGGGCTGGCTCCGGCGGATCCAACCATGCCGGCCGCACTGGCGCCTCAACCGGCGGGTCCCTGGCAGTTTCCTTGGCCGGGAGCTCGAAATCAGCGTCCGCGGGCAAGGTCGGCTCCTCGACGGCCTCGTGGCGGAGCGGGGACTCCCGCACGGGGCGGTCGGGCTGCGAGCGCGCGGAAGGGGAGCTGGAGGCGGAGGAGGAGGCGGAGGAGCGGAAGGCCTTGTGCGCCTCCCAGTCGGTGAGGGAGATGGCGAAGTCCTCGGGGCCGGAGAGGCCGAGGTTGCGGCAGAGGAGCTGGACGTCGCCGCCGCCATCGCCGCTGCCGCCGATGCGGAAGCTGCTGAGGTCGACGGAGCTGGCGACCGAGGGCGCGGCGGAGGCCGAGGCCGAGGAGGCCCGCGACGGGGACGGCGGGTAGCTGCAGAAGAGCTTGGCGGGGTCGTACTCGTAGCCGATGTTCTTGGACGCGTTGCGGCGGTCCAGCCGCGGGCCGCGCTTGGACGAGCGGCACGAGCCGGACGGCGAGGTGGACGTCGCGGTGTCCTGGGACGGCCGGCCCATCAGCGGCGCCTGCTCATGGGGTGCGGCGGCGCTCCGGGACGGGCGGGAGGAAGGGGGGGAAAGGCGATGAGGGGAAGAGATGAGGGCTCTCTGGCAGGCTTTGGGAGTGGCGCAGGAGAGGAGACGGCAAGGCGAGGTGCGGATATTTTTTTCGGCCGCGAGGTTGGGTTTTTTTGGTGGGCGAGGTGGGAGTGGGAGGGGAGACGAGTGCGTTGTCGCATTGACTCGCACCTTTCGCCTTTGTGGTGGCGCCCGGTGGCCGTGGGGGCGGCACTCGCGGCGCGGAGCTTCGCCGCAGTCGCCGTCTGGCCGGCTGGCGGAGGCGCCTTTTGGTCGCCGGGGAGCAAGGCGGTTACTTTGGAATGGAATGGGTGCGATGCTGGCGTGTGGGCGGACGTGTGACCCTGGGCTGAACCTTCGTCGGGTTGCCGTGTGTGCCTGCTTGCTCCTCTTGCCAAGTCAGCACACGGTAACCAGCGTACTTCTACTATCTTTGCTTGAGATATAAAATCACACAGGCAGCATCATGTCCCAAGAAACATACAGTGAATTGTCTGGTGTCACGAAATCGAACGACCCTCGCGTGTATCTTTCGGGCTCTCTGCCACTGCAAAGTGCAGCATTCCTTAATTAATACGTATAAAAGCTCTTGTGCATGGCTAATGGCTCGATGACAATACCCAAAACATAAATGACACCCATACACATTCTTTGGTTCACTGTTGACCCTGGCACGAACACGCCCACGTGAGGTTGAGGTTTATGTAAGAGAAAAATTCGCTACAGGTCCTCACACTTGTCGCGTTGGCCGCATTTCTCCTCGTACATGCAAATACTCAAAATACAGTCCTACAACTTATCTCAGGTGGTCATCTACGATCCAAAATATCATTTCCTCTACGTATCTGCTGACTTGGCCGTTGACTGGCGAGTCCACGCGGGCTTTGACCACCAGCTCATCAGAAGACGCCCTGGGCGGGGGGGTTCGGGGGAATATGAGGGGGTTTATTGCAAAAACGCCTGGCAATAAAACATCGGCCACCTGGTCGGACCGATCCATCCACCTGGTCGGACCCGACCGGACCGAGTCGCTCTGCTCCCCTCCCCTGTTCGTCGTCGCTGCCGAGGTGCTCCCCTCCCCTCGCCGGGCGTGGCGATCTGTGGCGACGCCTGCCATGAGCTCGTCGTCGGACGCCGAGTCGCCGCCGTCTGCTCCGTTTGGTAGGGGCCTGTGTGACGTTCCTCTCGCTCCCTCTCGTCGTCAGGATCATGCCGAGCCGCCGCTGTATGGTACGTCGCCGTCGTCGGCACCTTCTCTGCCCGATTTGTCCGTTTTAGCTGGGGGAAAGAGTGCGCGCCCTACTCAATTGCGCATACGGGGTAGGGTTTAGGGTTCTTGGCCATCTTTTTTTGTCACGGGTTTAGGGGTGCACATGTAGGGTTTTAGTTGTGGATGGTGAAGTTAGTGGCAGATGCAAATTAGGGTTTCATTAGGCCTTTTGATAGGTTATTTGTAGATGAAATATGGTTGTACAGAGGTAATTAAGGTTTTGATTGCTCGAATTGTTAGGCAAAGTGGATGCCCTGTTTTTTTGGCCGTCAATGTTAGCTTAAATTAGGTTACATGCGTCGACCATATGTTGTTTTGTTAATGAGATGACTGTGTGTTTGCCAGATCCACCAAAGGAATGGGCTTTTGGACATGAAAGATCATACATTTGTTTACTTGATATGCCATGAATGCCATCATTTTGTTCTGGAAATGTCTGAACTTTCAGTTATCTATTTCTGAACCTGTATCTGATACATTTGTCTACATTGTCTATTTCTGAACCTGTATGAAAATTGACATTTTGGTTAGATTGGTGCACTTACACGGAGCATATTTGTAGTAAAGATGCTTTCAAATAGCATGGTTGGGTCATGTCTTCAAGTGGCTAAACATTTTTTGTCTGAACATTGACAGTTTTGTTATTACTGACTGAACATTTTTTTGTCTGAACATTGACAGTTGTGTTAGACTGGTATAGTTACATTGTGTCAATTTCCTAGATCAGATGATCTCAAATAGCATGGTTGTGTCATTGTGCAGTTGCATTGTCTCTTCATCTCTGTTATTACTGTCTGTTGTTGCATTGTGCAGTTGCATTGTCTTCATCTCTGTTATTACTGTCTGTCTGAAAATTTTAGATTTTGTCATTTCATTTGTTTTGCAGGCCCCCTAAGCAACCATTTCTCTGCTTAGGTCATACATGGTGGCTATTTTCTATGTGCAGGCAAGCATGGGGGTTATCACAAGGGCCACTCCATTTGGTATGAAAACTGTGATATAGATAATTGGACACCTATAGTTGTTGCCAGTCTGGTGGAGGAAATTGGGTATGAGTTTGTGGGCAGGATAAGGGCTTACTGGTGTGTTCCTGGACTGACAGTCTATAAGAATGGCTTAAGAGAAATTAAGTTAGGGGACAACACAATGACAGAGAACATGAAGGATTGTGTTCTGAATGGGAACCATTTCCAGCAGATATTTCTTGATCATGATGACAGCATGAGGTCATATATTTCCCCTGTTCCAGTTTATTCTGATGATGAGGATCCTCCTTTGGCCAAATTCAGTGGCCTAAGGCCTAAGGAGGAGCAAGTGCAAGAGGAGCAGTCACAGCCAGTGCAGGAGGATCATTCTGACCAAGTGTAAGAGGAAAATGCTGAGCAAGTGAAAGAGGAGCAGGCTGAGCAAGATCAATTGTATGATGCAGAAAGTGAGGAAGGGACAGGAGAAGAGGAGTACATACCAGGTCCTCCTCAACCAGGAGAATATATTCATACATTTCAATTTGAGTTCACGGGCAGAAGGAAAACCTGTAGGGTTTTAAACATGGATGCAGAAGATGGAATTGGTGATTCAGCAATGAGATCTTCAGCAATTCATGATTCAGATGAAGATTTCAGTCCACAACTTGTTGATTCAGATATTGATCTGCAAGATGATGATGACTTGTTTGGCAGAAATGTTGATTGTGATAAAGGTAAAGGTTTAGCAGTCCAAGAACAACCTGATGATCCTGTTGAAGATGTGGACCTGTGTTTGCCTTCTTCTGATGAAGATAAGGTTAAGCTCAATTTCAAAAGTTTCAGAGAAGAAGACCTGTCTAAACCAGAGTTCCAAGTGGTACAGACATTTGCAAGTGTTGAGTTACTGAGGAAAGCTATCAAAGAGTACAGTTGTAGGGAAAGGGTTGACATTAAGTGCCCCAGAAATGATAGGAAAAGACTTCAAGCCATTTGTGAAGAAGGTTGCCCTTGGTCTTTGTTTGCATCATTTGGTTGCAAAACAAAATGCTTGATGGTCAAGAAATACAATCCAAAGCATACCTGCATAAAGAAATGGTTTGTGAAGTCATTCACTGATCCCTTCATGGCAGGAGAATACATTGATTCTTTTAGAGTAGATGAAAACATGAACATGAAGAATTTTGCAAGGGTGGTCCAGAAGGACTGGAACATGAAAGCTACAAGGAGCAAACTTAGATGGGCTAAGAGACTAGTCAAGAAGGTCCTTGAAGGAGATGAGTTAGAGCAGTACAACAGCATGTGGAATTATGCACAAGAAGTCAGAACATCAAACCCAGGTAGCTCTTTCTATGTGGGTGTCATTGATGGCCTATTTGGAAGTTGCTATTTTTTCTCTAGATGCCTACAAAAGGGGTTTCATGCAAGCCAGCAGGCCTGTCTTATGTTTAGATGGATGTCACCTGAAGAGCAAGTATGGAGGTGTTATGTTGTGTGCTGTTGAGATGGATCCCAATGACTGCATTTACCATCTAGCATTTGTAGTTGTGGAGGTAGAGAACGCTGATACATGGAAATGTTTTTTGTCAAACCTGAAGAGTGACTTGGAAATACTCAACACAAAACCATGGACTATTATGTCAGACAAACAAAAGGGGTTGATCAAGGGAGTGAGGCAGCACTTTCCTGATTCAGAGCACAAACATTGTGTCAGGCATATATGGCAGAATTTTCAGCAAACACACAAAGGAGATGTACTGAAGAACCAGTTATGAAAGTGTGCAAGGAGCACAACACCTGAACCGTGGGCTGCAAACATGGATGAACTAAAGGCCGTGAGCTTGGAAGCCTACACATGGCTTGAGAAACTACCACCAAACACTTGGGTTAGGGGTTTCCGAAGAGAATTGCCTAAGTGTGATATCCTTCTGGACAACAACTATGAGGTTTTCAACAAATATATCCTTGAGGCTAGGGAGATGCTGATCAGATCAATGGTTGACAAGATCAAAACCCAGCTCATGGTCAGATTCTACAATAAAAGAAAGGAGGTAGAGAACTGGCCTGGCTCTATATGCCCAAAAATAAGGAAAAGAGTTGAAAAGAATATTGAGCTCACAGCTACATGCATGGTTTCAGGGGCTGGTGATGGCATTTTCCAGGTTGACAACAAGAACAGGACATACATTGTTGCCATCAAGGAAGAGAGTTGTACATGCAAGAGGTGGGATCTTAGTGGAGTTCCATGTCACCATGCAATTGCATGCTGCAGACATGAAAGAATTAACCCTGACACTTTGGTGCACTCTTGCCACAGTATTGAGGCATTCAAGCTAGCATACCAACCCATTATCAAGCCTTGCAGAGATAGGAGAGAGTGGAAGAAGATGAATGGGTGTGAAATCAAGCCACTTGTCTATGAAAAAAAGTAGGGAGGCCTTCAAACAAGAGTAGGAGAAAGCAACCTTATGAGATTGAAAAGAAAGATGGAACCAAGGTGATGAGCAGACATGGAGTTAAGGTAACATGCTCCTACTGCCATGAATCAGGCCACAACATCAAAGGATGCAACCAAAGGAAGGCTGGCATTTTGCCAAAGAAACAAGTGAGAAGGGGGCCAAGGGCTATACCCGATGATGTGTCAGATGATGACCAACAAGCTGTTGGCCAAGTACCACATGCTGCTGAACAAGAAGGCCAACTCCCAC